CGCTGTCCGCTGTCCGGGCAGCACGCGGCCCCGGGGACACCCTGGGCCTGACTCTTGTATCTGAGATTTGGCACAAACTACAACCTTCTCCTCACGGCCGCTCCTGTCTGGGAGCCCAGCTACGCGCTGGCTGCGTAGGAGGCCCAGGCCCCTAACACCACTGCTTCCTCCTCTTTGGGTGCCATTTCTTAGGCTGTTTCTTTAAAAATTCAAAAGCCTTGGGTCTTGGGCTTTGCATGTCTAAGCCAGGGCCCTTTAAGAACATGACGAAATTCTTAGAACAAAATCAATTTCACTTTCCTTGAACTTAGACGTTACAAGGCGTTTACTGGAGGAGGTTGGGGTGGGAACGGCCAGCAGAGGGAGAGGGTGAGGAAGTGGCCGGGTGACCCGAGCCCTGGACCCAAGGCAGGTGGTCCTCAGATGCCGAGCCACAGAGGTCGGGGCGGTTCCGAGGGTCCCCGTGGAGAAGGGCCCGTGTCTGCCCTGTGAGGGTCAGGCCTTCCTGATGCTACGAGGGCGGGCGGACTTGAGTCTCCTTGGCGAGGAGAGACCACGCTGCACTGCTGGCCGCTGGTGGGCACACGCCTCTTTCACGCAGCCCCAGGGCCACGGCAGTCATGTTGGCTACCAATGCCGGGACCGGCCTAAGAAACACCGTCACAGAATTAACGATGGATGGTACCTAGTGGGTGGGAACCCCGTGGCTGCTCCCCAGGAGCCGAAGAAACTGCACGGAGAAAAGAAAAACACTCATCAGCACATCCCAGACAAACAGCCAAACCTCATGCTCTTCTCAAAGGCCATGGAAACCGCACGCGTGAGTTTGCCTTTAGTGACATCAGAGAGAGAGGGAGGGAGAGGGAGAGAGAGAAACATCAATGATGAGAGAGCATCATGGATCGGCCGCCTCCTGCTCACCCCACACTGGGGATGGAGCCCCCAACCTGGGCCTGTGCCCTGACCGGGAATCGAACCCTGACCTCCTGGGTCCTAGGTCGATGCTCAACCACTGAGCCATGTCGGGCCCACCTTCTTAATAACATTCCGGAAGATTCCATACTGTCCTGGTTACTTTTTAAAATTGTAATGGTGGTAAAATACACATCACACTTTCTCCCTCAGAAACGCCGGAGGTGTCCCGAGCCCAGACTCTGCCAAGGGAGGCCGTGGACGAGAAGGCAAGCTCACCTGTGGGCGTGGGCACCTCTGTCGGCTCCGGAGAGGGTGCTGAGGACGGAGAGAAGGTGGGAGAAGCAAGTCACACCCGAGGTGCCGTCAGCGTGGGCGGCCCCGTCAGTCACCCACAGTTTCTGAGTTTAAATGGATCCCCCAAGTCCCTTCTCTGTGGGGACCTCCCTCCATCGCCCGAATGGTGTGTCCACCGCCGAGTGACACAAGCTCAAGAAAGGCAAAGCGCGGTGTGGACAGATATTCCTCAAAAACAGACGCACGCCAGCCCAGCTGATGGCTCAGTGGTTAGAGCATCGGCCTGCAGCCTGAAGGGTCACGGGTTCAATCCCTGGCCCTGTCAGGGCGCATGCAGGAGGCAACCAATCCATGTCTCTCTTACACTGTTTTCCTCTCTCTGTGTCTCTCCCCATTCCTTCCACTCTCTCTAAAAACCAATGGAAAAATATTCCCAGGTGCGGATCAACACCACCACCACCACCAGAGCCAGATTACTTTACAGTGTGGGAGGCGGTGGGTATGGGGTGGGAGGCGTGTGGGGGTGTGGGAGGCGGTGGGTATGGGGTGGGAGTGGGTGTGGGGTGTGGGAGGTGGTGGGTATGGG